TAAGACCAGCTAGACTGGCACATGACCAGTTCATTACCAAGGTCAAATAGTAGGATGGAGAAGGTCCAACTTAGACCTTGGCAAATTGCAACGAATATGCGATGCTCGAGATATCTTTGAAAACCTTATGAGACAGACAAATGGATAAGTAGTCTTTAACACAGGCAAACAGAAGGGCTGGGAAAGTAGCAGCACGACAAATGCCACACGCCACCAGCATGCCAGATGAGTCACATCCTCTCCAAATAAAACTGACACACGCTACTCCGTGAAAACTGGTATTTTGACTGCCTTCGTCAAAACCCGCCTTCAAATTACCATTGCGCAAGAATGTTCTTTCAGCTGGGGTCGCTTCACACACCACATGGGGGCAGTTGGAGCGAACTCAACAACCCTAAAGAAAAGTCGCCGAAACATGCGTTTGTCTTAACGCAACGCAAATCACCTCTCCGTGAGCATCGGACCATTTTAAATAGGCAATAATATGAGCCGAAGTAGAGAAGTTTACGAATCGTAATACAATATAATGATAACAACATAATAATAATATAAGTAGCACAAAGAAATAGTAAAGTAGGCAAATGAAGGAATACCTCATATTTGGCCTCCGAGGGGACGATCTGACCCGGAAACTGTCGACATTTATACTTCAGGTCCTGATCACCCTTCTTCAGCCTGCACTCAACATCCAAGGACCTCAAAGGTTGCCAACAAGATTTATTTATCACAAAACCTTAAAGTGAGGGCAAAAACAACTGCATGAAGTAAGCGATAGCATTTTGAAAGCAGTAGTTAAAGGCATCCACAAGAAAAGTGTGCAACATACCAATCACTAAGATAGATGGCAAGATCGGCACTGGGGAGACTAACGGTGGAGATGAAAGTCGACGCATCACCACTGCCAGACTGCACGAATTTGCCTTTGACGGAACTGCCACTGAATAATTTGTAAGGAACTGTCAAGTCGGGAATGAGGAGAACCACCCGAACCGGTTCACCATCCTCAGCTGTCACCGTGATCATTGTGACCTTGTAAGGAGCCAACCAGGCAAGCGTTTGTCAGCTAAAAATAGTACCATTAATCCTCCACAAACGCAGTGATATGCATTGTAGGTAAGGAGAAAAGAATATTTCTCACTGCTTTAAACGCCTACAGACTTTGAAGATAGCGATTACAAGGGAAACACTACTACCGAAAGAGAGGCAGATACCATTCAAAGTTGTTTACGAAAGAGGTGAAAAGTGCAATTCTTCATGAACAGATTCAAAAGCTACCTTGTAAGCTTTACGCCAACTAAAGATGGAAAAATGTTGCGTTATCAGCTGTACATATCACATCTGTAGAACTGAAGTAATAGTCGAGCAGCATGTTCCCCTATTTATAAGGGTCAGTTTTTCTTTTAACCTTTGAACTTTCACAATTAAGTAAACCAGAGTGCTTGCGAAAAATTGCAATCTGATTCAAGCAGTTCACTTCGGCTAGCATTAACAAATCCTCCGTTAAGATCAACCAATCCGTGAGTGACTCATTTGGTGGGATAATAGTGCAATGCTAGACTCAGAAGTTGTCTTCTGCCCTGAATATCACGCTATCGTAAGAACCTAATTCAAAACGACATGACAGTCGTGATTTGATCTGAGCACTAAAAAAGGCATGAACTGATTGTGCACGGACAAAAAAGGAAATGACAAGTTAAGTTTATCCCTGCCAAAAAAATCACAAAAACCAGTCTTGGTTACGTAGTGCATGGCATAGAGTTACAAAGCATACAAAAAAGAGCATGACAAACACTAAAGAAAATAATCGCAAAGGACAGAAAACTGAACAAAAGCGCGGTGAAAGCTAGATTTAAGCAAGAGCACTTTTAATGCCAGAAATCATCAAATTTTGTTGCATTTATTGCGCTTGATCGATAAAACATAATCGTAATCGCCCATCAACACAGTATTGAAAGCCCCTGTCGTTTACCCCGAAGATCCTGAACACTGTACAGTGTGAAAAATAAGTGCCACAGTACAGACTATCGCCCAGCACACATTAGGTGACTTTATTCGCCTGTAAATCAGGAGCAGCAGATGATTTAAAATAGTTTCACTAAAATTAGCATCCCCATGAGTTTCACAAAAATAAACTGAAAAAATGCCATCTGTCAGACATTTACATGTTATGTGATGATATGTCAGTGAAAAGTTAACTCAAATACTCTCAAAAATTCCGGACAAGGTAACAAAAAAGTTAAATCACATGATAGGCTACCTATCTCAAAAAGTGGATGAAGTGGAACCCGACGGTTGATCACGCGCACAGAACACACACCACTAATACGATGGCCGCGCCTTCAAGAATTGACCTCTACATCATATTTGCTGTGTAAAATAACGTCTCAATTCAAATTAGTTGGCTCTAAAACTTTCATAAGTTAAAAATATAAAATTATTCAGAAGGCCCCTGCTTTTCAATAACTCTCGGTTTCATTTTAATTAGTAATTTTTTAATGTACCAGAAACCCAATTTATTTCAAATTTCATTTGGCCTTAATAATGCAGCGTTTAGCTAAGCTTATTCATTTTAATCACAAATGAAATGAATGTAGAATAGGTTTTTTTGTGCCGAATGTTTTGTGAACAGAGTAACGTGGTCTGATAATTTGTTTGATTACCCAAGGCTTCAGTCCCCATGTGTACGCAATTCAACTTGCCACTTCGGTAGCCGCAGGACCCTCATGGGCATTATTAGTTGTAATGCGATGGTCGTTTGTCTCTCGGTTTTGGGGAGGAACCACTTTTGGCTTGTCCATTGTGCCAGGTCGGGTAGGATGGCCTTCGGGCCATGCCAGTCTCCCTAGTGTAGCGTCCCGAGACTCCCTGAAGACGAAAAAAGACACAACACTAGGGCAGAATACATATATTCAGCACGGAGAAGGTGTCTGGGCTATTGGCATGGCCCAAAAGGCCAGCCCACCCAGTGAGGTACAAGGGGCTACTTCAAAGTACAAAAGTGGCGCCTCACCAGAACCGAAGGATAAACCACTATCGTATTACACTAGTACCTTTTGTGTGCCGAACATATATATATATACATGTATATGTATATATGTATTCTACCCGAGTATTGTCTTTTTGTCTTAAGGAAAGTCTCAGGAGGCCACAATAGTAGCTGCTATTGCTTAACAAACAGCCTTTGTACACCTCTGAACGGACCCCAGTACCTACCAAGAATTGAGTAGCTCTCTCTGCATGCATCAACTTAATAAAATACTGCTTTTGTTTTATTGTTTTAGGCTCTTTTGTCTTGACAATCAGAGACACATTTTGTGACCTAAAAAAGGCTTTTGTATCTTTTTCTACCTATACTTAATTTTCCATTTAGGGCAATCTTTTCGAACACCGCTCACCAACTTAGTACTTAAAAGTCCAATAATCCGAATTTTTTGAATCCGTGCTTATTTTATGTAACGAACATGCAAAGTGCGTGGACTTAAGTGAGATTATTAACTTCTGAATACAAGTAAGACCTAATACTAGAGCAGAATATGTATTGTTGATATACAGAAGAACCTGAGACTACTGACATAGCCAAGAGGTTAGCCCTCTTGGTGAAGGTGCAGTGGTCAAGACACAAGGTAGCTCTGTACAAAACCAAAAGTTGATCTAACAATTAATGCGTTGCATACCCCTCATCCTCCTTTGAGCGTTGCTTTTGGCGCTATTCTTAAGCCATATCCATCGTTAGCCATCACAACGCAATCGGTACTGTAAAGTACATTCAAAAGTCAACCATGCCAGTCATTTGTCTTCCCTGCAACTGAAAAGATACATGACAGCAGCGTTACTAACCTCTCTTGGTGCTTTGACTGAATTGGTAATTTCGCCTTCTATGGGAAGTGAATTCGCGTACAGGGAATTGTGCTGGCCATTATGCGTTCCCATAATTGGACGTAAGAATGCCGACCTAGAAGCAGATTTGTGCAATAAAGAACTAGGTCTAATGCAGTTCCTTAAAGGTAGGTTTTAGAGTCAGGTTGTTTTTGCCACTTTGTTCTCACTTTGGTGCTGCCCAGTCATATCCAGATTCTATCCAGTTAGTGGAGAAGTAGAGAACATATCGAGATTCCACCTTACCGTAATATTTATGCATATACTTCAGGCAAATACTCATAAAGGTTTTCTAGATGGTCTACAATCAGTGTTGCTTTCCTACAGAACACGTCAATGGGGTAGTTACCGAAGGTAGGCTTCATTTTCAACCCTTCTACTGAGGGTCGTCGCAGATTCTCCCATTCACAGCATATGCACTTCTTCTGTCCCAATGAGGTTTGTCACACAGCGGTGGATGTAATATGATGGTGGTTTATCCGTCGGTATTGGTGAGGCGCTACTTCGGTACTTTGAATTAGTCCTCTTGTACCTTGCTAGGCGGGCCGGCCTTCGGGCCATTCCAATAGCCGAAACACCTCCTTTGTGCTAAATTTATATTCTGCCCGAGTATTGTGTCTTTTTCCGTCCTCAGGGAAGTCTGGGGACGCTGCAGTAGAAATATAAATAGATGTCCCTAATATCGGACTTGCTTTCCGCAATCACCTAAGTAGCACTGTGAGACTTCCCTGAAGACGGAGAAAGGAATAGTATCCTAGCACAATATATACATTTGGAATGCAAAAGGGCTTGAAACTGCCTGCATGACCGTGAGGCCAATTCGACCAACGAAGGTGTAACGGCCAAGACCCAGAATGGTCCTTTGCATGAATTGGGGGTTTTATACATAGTAAGGCTTGTTTTGTTTAAATGTGCTCTTTAGGTGGAAAGCATTCAGTGAGCACAAATCTAGCAGATAAATTGTCAGAATTCTTCGGGGCAGGCTTATAAATTATCAAGTAGGAAGGTGTTAGAAGATTATATTAGATACGAAAATCCTAAAACAATATAAGTATCTAAATAATTTGACTTTTCATAAATAAGCCGCAAGGATCATAAAATAATTGCAAGTAGTACTAAGATTCTTGCATCGTCGCGAGTACTTTCTAAGCTTATCATAAGTCATAGTAATTTTGACAACCTTAAGAGCCAATCTTACTAGCAGAGACGCAGTTTATATGGCAAATGACTGATGTAGCAAAAAAACACCTTGAGACAAGATGTCAAATCTCCACATATTACTGCTACGTGGCCGTCGCACTTTAAAAATAACTTGATCTGTTTAGTTGTTTTTGTTTTTTTTTTTAAATTGCTGTTTACTCGCAAATTGAGCAGCAACCATGTCAGCGCGTCAAAGTGTTGTAGTTAACCCGATAATTTGCGCTTTACTCAAAATGGATTTTTGGTGGTAAGCTTATACATATCTGCATGAGTGCCATTTAATCCCAACATGACGTTTAATAACCTAGGATTGATATGCCTCTATCTTTTGCATACTATATTGTTACCCGCGTGTCCGGCTATTTGCATGCTTTGTATTTTGTCATGATTGAGCAAACCCAATTATTGGTTCTTTTTTAGCATTACTAAATTTAAACCCACAGGAGAGGAATTGATCATTACGTTGGGCTACGCACTGTTTGTATTTGCCCTCGTAGCGCCCCCAAACGTCCTACTTTCCGCTGGCCTTACTATCGAGAACCTCTTTCATCGACTTTTGGGCAGCGAAGAGCTCTTTTTCACCGCCTATCACCTCCGAAGGACAGCCCTATTAAAAGCCCTTTCTTTCTTTATTCCTCTAGGCAAGTAACGTTTTTGTTGGTGCCTTGTACGGCGATAAATTTTTGTTACCGTTCAACTCGTACTTTTAGGATACTTTATTACACTTCGGACATTCGGAAATCCAGAAATGGGTTTTCTGAACGCTGTTGGGAATGTTGGTTTGGCCTTATCGGTTGCTCAGGTTGCAACTGCTTCTTTTTACATCTATCTTGAGTGGTATGCACACGGTAAATGGACGGGTCATCCTGGAATGCAAGAGATGAAAAAAATTGCAGAGAATATTTCTTCCTCCTCCTTCTCTACGGCATCAACTAGTTCAGATGAGTTGGAATTTCTTCGAAGTCATCCTAGGTACAATGAAGATTCTTGGTTTTAGTTGGTTTAAATGGCACTTATTATCTCTTGAATGGTAGACTGAAACTGCACGGCATTGAAGCCTAGACAAACTTTTCTCGAAAAACGTCCTACTGACATAGTCAAAAACTAAATTGTTAGGGGTAAAGAGGAACAGTTTCCTGCATTTTTGATCCAACAAATATGATAAGTTAAAAGTTTGCTCTACTTGCATCCAGGTGATTAGATATACCATTTTGCTTTCGCACAGTCCAGAAGGCGTGGCCTCCAGCATTGACAAGGAATTCCGAAGGATGGAAAAGTTTGTCGCCTTTGCTGGCCGCGGTCTCACCTCCTCCTGGTCAGGTCGTCGAATTGTCGTAACACCCTCATGGATCCTCTTCTCGCATCGCACAACCTTCCTGCCGATCTGCCAACTTCTAGGTCACTTGGGAGCTGTTGTTGTGGGAACGCGGTGTATCAATAATCAGATAGCGTCATTAGGGGAGGATGAGGAACAGGAACGGGCGGACCCAATGCTTGGTAGCGGTGTGGTTATGGCAACCATCAGAATTGCGGATATGGATAGCGGGGCCTGTATGCTCTCGTTTGAGTAAGAAGTGGTTTGATCGGTATGCTATTAACTGACTCCGTTGTCATCTATGTACTGGAAGTCTTTCCTTACGATATCCTATGACAACGACGGTAAAATTCATTTACTTTTCTATTCGCTGATCTATCTTGAACCCGTCCACATAAGGATTATTCTATAGGTTATTTCACCACATCACTTTAAATTCTTTGTATGCCACGGAGGAAACGCGATTCACCATTCAACGAATGCAACTGAATTGCTGTTCTTTTGTTTTTTATAGCCTCCCAGCGAGTGAATTAGAAAATTTTCGCCTCTATCTGTGCTGCCCATTGGTCTACGCACAGGGCGTTTCCCTCGAACCAAGCATAATTCAACGTTTTCTGGAGGCATTCTCCGCAGTCGTTCAGGAAAATGAACCAATTGAAATCCCTCCCAGTATGGTGAGGTGCAAAATGATACATATTTAATTTTAAGATGTGTTCAGACTTTACCTGTGTTTCCAGCGTTAAACTTGTCCCATCTTCTACTGTTCCTCCTTCAATCGGTAGGAGCTTGAGCGATGTATCGGATGTCTTAGCAATCAGACAAGCGTAGCCATCCGTCGCAGCTGTGCAGGCGAGTGCGGATCCTGTCGGTGTCGGCCAATGTGGTGCGAGATGTGTGTGGGTAGATGGTTTGCATCGCGACTGGCTCAATCGCATGTGCCAACTTCGGAATGGGTGGCTTCTCGAGTGCCCTGTCCCACCTGTCGAAGCCTCTTTTGCGTTCGTGATGTGATTTCCTTGAAGCGCGCACAATATTGACTTCATGAGTTCCAGAATTGTTGGAAAATTTCAAACTAGCTTGAGATTGCAATCTGTGTACTGCAGCATCTCTCATCTTGCCATTTGAAAGAATAATCAAGCTTTTATTTGAAGAGGATGGCCACTTTTCCATTTCAAAACATTTTTCATCACCAAAACTGCTTTAAAATTTCGACTACCTTCTGAGATCCTTCTCTGATCACCTACTCATCTCCCTTATCAACTCAGTTTGTCCTTTGGTGGTGTGCTGACGCAACACCCTTGGAAGATAATAAAGCTTTTTTCGCGCCCTCCTTCTTTTACAGCGTGCAGGTTTTTCGCTTTACAACTACCACGTTTTATGGAACAAGAGTTGGCCCAAAACTTTGGGACATTTAGGCGCATATAAATGGTGTACCTCCAGAGGTACCGAAATCGGTAAATGTGTGAACTGTTTGTTAGCTTGCAGATTTCCCATGGGGTCACAACAAAGTGTCCTAGAGGGCACAGCTTGTGGTCCTCCGGCGATCGGATTTGGTGAGTTGCTTCCATTCTGTTTTGTGAAGTCCTTTTGATACCTCTCGCGGTCTCTTGCAAGCCAGAAAAGTGCCTTTTGGATTTTTGATTCCAGAAGATCGGCATTCGTCAGTTGCGTCTCTCTCCACCACTCCCTTGCCATCATCTCCGAGTTTTCCAGGAATGACATCTCTTTCTTACTCCATAAAGGCGAAATTTCGTCCAGACACTAACCGTAGACGTCAACGTCCACTTTCCTGTGTGATTCCAGACCAAGATCCTGCGTTTCCAAGTCGAGGTGGTGCCAGTTCATCTAGACAAGTTGTGGTCGTATCAGCGGCTCCATCAAGCCTCTTCCGATCCTCTTCCACGCCAAAAGTGTGTGGAGCTCCGACCAAATGGAGGGAGGATCCACAGTGGGAAGTTTACCAATTACAGCATCGTGTGCCGAGATTTGAGCCTCTGGCAAGGTGGAGGAATCTTGGGGGTTCTGATCCCACTCCGGTTGGCTGATTTTCAAGGTCTAAGTTGCAGCAGTGACCAAATTACCAACTATCATATTTTCTTTATCTAGCTGGTCGAAATGGTGGAGGCCTACAAGCGACACTACTCTGTGATAGCAGATTCCGTTTCCCACAAGCAGGAGGAAATTATCTGCCTTGAACGAAAGGTGATTTATTTGTCGTCATTGTCTCTCACTTGGCGTAAACCAGAGGTGATGCCCATTAATCCCCTCTTCCTTCATCCGTGTTCTCGTGGATAGATTGAATCCACTTCAAAACGCGCGGTAGAGTCAATGCAACTTCGTCAACGCGGTGGTGAATTCCCAAACTCTTCATCCACGGCTGACTCGATGACTACTGTGGCGGCGGGGGCCTACCAGTTGGAGCGAATCTTTGAAGGCATCAACGAGTTACATGATCGGTTCAAGGGCTGTGAGAGGCTTCTCGAAGAGTTGGAACTTCAAGCTAAAGAACTGGAACAAAAAATGGCCTGCGATTGTGGTGGCGGTGACCAATAGATTTTTACCTTCTCCTGTACATCCTATGATTTTTATATTTTAGCAACTCCTTTCAGATTTTTTTGATAGATATTCGAAAAAAATTGCTTGTGTTGTTACAAACGGCAAAATATGGATCTTTGTGATCGCGTTTGTCTCTTGCTGATAATATGAGGGGTGTTTACGTCAAGCCGGGACTTCGGCTTATGTCTTGGGAAGAAGGGATGTCATCTTGCAGTTATCAGCCACCCATTCGAGAGGCGACTATCTGCCAGTACAAGTTGGTGACGGACGTGTCGAGGGTTACTCTGGCCTCACTATTCAATGTGGAGGTTCCACCTGGAAGATGTACTAAAATCTGAGCTGGCGGATATCGGCCCGCACCTAAGGTGGGCTTCATATGTACTGCAGTACACGGTAGGATGTATGGATGGTGTTGCTGTTGCAAAGACGGCTGATATTCACCGTGGCAGCTCCGATCCTACCCCACAACACAGTAGTGGAATGTCTGCCTGATCCTGGAGGTCTAAACCATGCCTAACTTGTCGCGGACTTCCACAAGGGACGGATCTATCTATCTGAGACCATTAACTATTTTGGGATATGTCCACGCTGCATCTCCTCTAACACAGAAGAGTTGGACATCGCAATTGCTGAATTGAAGGAGTGCTTATAAAAGAAGAGTTGGAATTTTGCCGATTCCATCATCAGATTCGATGGAGTCTAGACCCACCATTTGAGTTCCTTTTTGGACAGGCGTTAAATCAATGTAAGCATGCAATACCATCACCGCTAGACAAGGAATTCTGGGTGAAGGACTTCTAGACATGATCCCATATGCAGGATTTGTTGAAGCCTGCTGCAAAGATGTGCAAATTGAAACGGGACCTTTGAACTTATAATTGAAAATAAGTTTCAAGCGATGGAAGTCTTCTGCAAGGCATACTTTTTGGTTACCTTAACGATTGAAAGGAACGGTCTTGTTAAAGCATTTCAGATATCTCAGACTAAATCTCTCCATCCTGACCTTGACAACTGCCTCCAGTATCTGGATGTAGTATCTGGTGGGAAAGAGTTTGATGTTTTAGGGAATGTTCACTCTCGTATATAATATGGTAAGGCAAAACAATCACGATAAAGGAAAAGCCGATATAATGAGAGTATTGCATTCTTTCTTTCCTTATTTACGGTAGATTTTTGAATTTCGACGGGTGCTACTTGCTGGACCAAATAGGTAGTATATGCTGGCCCATAAAATTACCTCTCAAAGTAAACTCCATCACATATAGGGAGAATTAAAGAAGCTTCGCAGAGCAAGGAATGAGAGGAGGCTATTGTTTACTACAAATATGATCCGTAAATCTCGGACGACTTTTTGATTGGCTCTTGTTTTAGTCACCTGGTTCTGCTCAAATCTCATTGGCCAATCAAAGAAGAATCTCTATCAGATAGGAAGACGTCTCAAAGGGTGCGATTTAGTAATCTAGCTGTAGTTTCCTCAAGTAAGTCACCAGTATTCGTTTAACGGTGTTTTTAACGATGGGGACACCTCAGTCTCCGCAAATTTTATGCTAGTCACACCCCAGCTCTTACGTAGGGTAGTAATATGCATTCCCCCACCCTACTCTGGGTCATTACTACTTCAAAGAAGACTCGAGGTGATATAGTTAGCATTCCAACTTTTCACCCAGTTTTTTTTATGGATAAGCTCTTATAAGGAGTGTACGATCTGCAAACGCAGATCCTTTTCTTGGTTTTTCCCACTCGTAGCTTCATTGCTGAGCGTATCGCAGACCAGTCAGAAAGGCACCTGTGTAAACCAATTTAACTAAACATTTATTTAAATCTAGTGTGAAAACCACTATTTTTTTGCAGACAAAAATGGCACTTAATCAACAATCTGGGCTCCTGTCACTTGCCAGTCAATTTTTCCATTGGTCACTGCAATATCCAAGTGGTGGACTACTCAACATATTTTTTGCGCCAAAAGACCAAGGAATGTTTCAAATAAACCCTACAAAGGAAAAAATAACTTTGGCTTTAAAATTTCTTCAATTTGTCCTCTTTAAGGATACAACGGATCTGCCCGTTTCAAAAGCTCTGCTAAGGGAGAACTTGAGTACCCACAACACTCCAACTGGTTCCAATCGTGAGGGCGTGATAATATGGCCCCTCCTAATAACTCTGATTCTAACATTGACTCTACTGATAATTCTAGGATGGCGCCTTAGCTACTACAAGGCGCGCTGTCCAAGAAAGGTAAGATTTCCTAAAAATTTGATGAAAAGTTTTTGCCATTAAAGAGCTATATGAGTACGTTAATATTTCTCTTCCCCCTTTTTCTTCTCTTATCAGTATTACTTGGAAAATACGGAATCTTACAGCTTCCCTTTATGTAGGGAGTCTGGGAAATTCACTGCCTTCTTAACGATTTGATTGGTTAATTTTAAAGTGACCAATCACTTCTTCAGAAGAGTTAGAAAGTGACCAAATAAGTTTGCAGAGGTTTTTTTATGAAGAAAGTGAATCAGCGGCGAGTTCATTAAAAAAGAAAATGCTGTTAGTCTAGCATCTTACCAAACGGTTCGGCCTCTAAAAGTGGGCTAAAAAGATCGGTTGATGCCACGTCCAGTTCTGCCTTAGTAGCTCTGTTACCCCACTGCCTGCCCTCATTCGCATGTGATTGAGGGTTTGTGTGATGTAAAACAAAATAGGCGAATAAAGAGGGAAGTGATGAAGGGAAAATGAAGAGACAGAACCTCCCTAGTCGGTGTTGTCTTCCATAAATTAGGAGGGAAAACTCTTACACCTGAGCGTCTAATCCTGACTGGTTCTGAATACGACGAAGAAAAAGAAGTGAAGAAATAAAAAGAAAAATTGTAGAGGTGTTGCTAGCTCGTCTTTCAGTTGAATGAAGTACATGCGACTCGGTCATAGTTGTTGTTTAGATTTCTGAAAGTGTATACTTGCGTCTGTGGTGCACCACAAAGACACATAAACGTGGACCAGTTGGTGTTGTTGTTGAAGTGTGGGGTGTAATGAGTGGGTCGATTATGGGTAACTAGTAGTGCTCATTCATTTACCTTTATTATCAAAATCCGGTCACCCAGTTGCTTAACCAACTATTCAGTCAGTTGGCTGGTTAATCAAGCAATCTGTCGGTCCATCGGTTACCAAAAAATATTCTCTTGCTGGCACATTTGTACAGTCTACTTAAAAAATTGACAGACAGCAACTTGATTGTCTTCCATCCTCTTTGTCTCCACCTCATAATTTGTAGCACACAGTGCTAGTAATGGTCACTACTCACGCATGCTTGTTGAAGGTAGTGAAGACTGGTTTTAGCATCACTCACTTTAAAATTCTCAGTGTGCCTTCTTTACAATCTCGTCTTCATTCTCCTGGACCTATTACTAGGAGAATGTGGTCCCTAGACGATATTGTATGGTAAATCATTTCAAAATGTTGTTTGATTGGCAGTTTTCGCGCATCCGCAACCATCGCTTTCAATTTTTCTGTAAAACAGAGGAAAGCGGTCTCCAACGGCCAATCTCCTTGAACCGACATTCCATGCCATGAGGGTTCCAAACAGATTGAAAGTGGCATAAAGCGCAAGCGGGGACTTCGTACCGATTGTACTGACACATCTCTACCCTCAAGAACATTTACATAAACAGTCGTAGTTGCGAGTTCTCACAAAGTTTTAACATTTCATCGTTGCATGCTTAACCAAAAATGGGAATAATATTTAGGTTGCCTTTCAACTTCTCCCCACATTTGTTCATCCCATTACTAAGTGAGAAATAAGTCCTGCAAAGCTTAGTCCTACTCAGTGTCGAATGACTTTTCAAGCATTCATTTTCCTAGTGAGTAATTATGTTTATGACAGGCCGAGTATGATTAGGCTAACCTGATGTTTGACCACTGTCCCGTGAATCGGATAAGAACCATAATGACTTAGAATGCCACATATGGACTTTTGGACAGGTGTGCTGCTATTTTTAACATATTTGTTAATTTGTTCATTTTATAATGACGTGAATTATTGTCGCATCATTCTACTGTGCTTGTTATCATCCCTAGGCGCGAAGCAGTAGTGGGGACAGGTGAAATTACTCCTACAGCTTGTGCAATGGGTTCGCACACTAGCAAGTCTTTACAAATTTATAACGTGTGCGCCGATTTTCAGAGTTTAAGGATGTACACCTATCTAACTACTGCTCGGCATGCCACGAAGATCCTCTGTTGCGAGCATATTGGTTTGGATTAAAGGACTCATGCCACTATAATTACAGCTTTATTATTGTTCATAATGATCTAACTTTTTTCAGCGAGCGTGACTAAAAGTTATTTGCTTCTACATTTACGGAAAAGGTCTGATTTGTCCTTGATCAAAAGTCACCAGTCAAGTCAAAAATTGGCCAGTCGAATGTAAGCGTAATGGGTCGTTGTCATGGAGATACCTAATTAAATTTATTTAAAGTACTCATGAAAAATTTTCAAATTTATCACCTTGCTGAAACGAGTTAACCGTTGTTTATAAGTTTTGAGCTGAAAAACGCAAAAAAGGTTTTTAACTTCCTCTGAACAAAACAAATATTTCATTTTACCTGGCGCCTGCAAAAACGTGGTAAAGATGTGATGTGAGCTTTTCACAGGATCCTATAAGCTGACGCCAATTTACCGCAAAATGGAACTCCGACCCAAAGGCTTTTTACCTTCTTCTTTGTAGACATTCACACATAGGAGTCGAAGAAAGAGGTGTTTGAAACATGTGGAAATAGCTTTACTGATTTCTTGCGTCATCTCGGAACTCATTGCTGTCACATTTCTTGGATTCTTTTTTAAGGAATCGAACGAAATGATTTCTATTTTTGAAAGCAGAGGTGAAAATGGTTCGGATGTGGTTAAAAAAGTGAGAGCTCTTTCCGTCGGCGTGCAAACTTTCCTATATTCGGGACTTTCAAATGGACAGAAGACGATTTCTGAGGCGTTTAGGGAACTTGAGGATGCTCTTACTGTAAGTTTATGCTTTCCTTTTAGGCAGTTATTTGTTCACGCTGCCACCTCATTATTTCGTTCAACTTCCCATCCATCAATCTGCTTATTGAATCGAGGGGTCCTTTTTGGATTCATTTGTCCATAAAGCTACTCACACACTCACAACTATTGTGGATAGGCAACTGCCCTCCATCGAACAATCTCACTCCAATGATGGATCACGCAATGATGCAGGGAGGTTAACAACACCCTTTGTTCGTCATTGTCAAGGGGAACCACATCATTCGATCAACGTGTTCGAGCGAGTAAAGATGAGGTTGGGAAGGAGGAAAGTGAAGAATACCGAGTGTGAGCGATCCAAGAAGTGGTTTGCACTAACACTAATGGGCAAGCGCATGTGGTGGCAGCCACTAGTGCCATATGCATGTGTCACAAACTAGGAGATGACGGACGATGAGGGTGGAAGTTACTGTTTGTCACTACCTTCAAGTGGTCTAGAAGAAAGCGTCATTAAGCAAGGATCATTTGGCTACCGATAGACAGACCGACCGAGCAGCCAACTAACTGATTAGTTGGTGATGGAATCCCGGCAAGAAAGGGTTCCCAAAATAGTAAGTCAGATAATTTAATGAACGGGTATGACCAGTTATCCACTAACCGACTCGCTTACTACGCTTCACCATTCAAAGACAGTCACCACCTCGCCTACCGATGGCAGAGCTTTCTTTGAGCACTCCTGATACAAATGGTTGCATCTACTTGTTCATTAACGACTACTACTGACTAATTCTCAATCTTGCTTTTACTTCAGATCCACTTACAAAACCGATCAGATGACGTAGTCGACACCTTGTATCGACACTTGCAACTGAAGGAGATGTTAAGCTTTGAAGCCGAGATGGTCCGTCTCATGGACGTCCGGGTGGCGGCCTTTAAATCGGGCAACACTGCCCTTGTCAACAAAGTGGAGAGAGTCTCCCACTTCCTCACAGATTTGATAAGTGCTGAAAGAAATCTGACTCGAGTTTTGAAGAACGAATGTGAACGCATGGAACAGTGTGCAGAAATGATCGTACGCAAAGTTTGATCATCTCTAGCCACTTTCAACTAGTTTACTGGGGGCTGTCCCTTACTTTCGTTTGATTACAAAGAAAAATGTCTACCCATAGGTTTTAACTCACTCTAGAGGTGACCTAAGCTAACGCTATTATGAATGATAACGAAGTGAAAGTTAGAGGAGAATCTTAACAGCTGTTGACGTTATTAGCCTATTGTATCAACGCTCTTCGTGTTTATCCGTCTGCCTCTATATTTTCACGGCAGACAGGTGTCTTACGGCTCCCAAAGAGCGGACTTTGGGGGAATCTCCAGCACAGTGCAGGCAGAGCTTTCTGGGAGGAGGTTTTCCTAAACCGACCGACCAAATTACTGCCAAAAGATGGAAGTCTAGCAGCATTATTGTCCTGTGTAGTGCCACATGGACAAAACATTGGGATCAAATCGAGGAGGAGTAAAAGGGGAGAAGGCAAAATCCCCATAGGCCCCCTTAAGGTCATAGCCAGAAAATCCAGCACTGTGTGGTCTGAAGAATTCACATGTGTGTAATTTCTCTTAAATTTTTCCAGATATCTCTCAGTGCCGCCACTCGTCAGCTCACTCCAATCCCTGTTGGGGGGAATTCGCTGCCTCAACTAGTCACCGCTTTGCACAGCCTCAAGGTCAAACTCGATCCATGGTTCCTGTTGGTTCGTAACTTAAATCACTCTCTGACCCAACTCAGAACTCGTCTTTCTAACCACTCATCAACGCATACCATCGATTTGTCGCCAACTGTGGAAGCTGTGTGGAGACAAGTGGAAATGCAAGTGATTTCCCTAAATCGGAGTGTTCAAAGCCTTGAGCAGGAAGTTGTTTCCTCGTTGTATAAGACCGCTAGGACCTGCGTGACTGCAGCTGTCAGTTCAGTTGGTGGAGTCTTCGTTTGCCTACACCTCTTTCTGGGTGTTTTTGTGGGTGGTTTTTTACATAGCGCCGTGAAGGAACGATGCCTACGGAAGCCAAGTAAGCTAATCATTGGTCAGTTTGCTTTTTATTATTTTAGGAAGAGTTAGGAAGGGCACATCCGCTTGTCCTTCAAGCGTAATCCATCTATGTGCTTTCCTCTTCATAACTGCTATGCTACTAACATTTCTCGTTATTTGCACAACCTTTGGGAGTTCTCTTCTTTACGCGGAGGGTTGTGTCTACCTACAAGAGAACAAACATCTAGCCATGTTTGATTCAGTCCTAAGTGGTTACATGCAAGGCGTATGGACGCAAATCAATGGAGAAACGGTCTTTGGAGTACCGCCGCCAAAAAATCTCCTAACTGCTGTAGTCCGCGATTGTGGACGAAGTGATGTCGGCCTCTTTGCGCTGATTGGCTGGAATAGCTTTCCTGATCTGCCGACTTTGCTTCATAGTGAAAACGTTCAAGGAGCAATTCAGGAAGAAAGATAGTATGTGCAGTGAATTACCTCTGTCATTCAAGCATTTGTGTTTGTTATCACCAACTACACACTCGTGGATTTAGATCTGGCACAGTTCTGATCCTTGGTACATTCAGCCTACGCAACTGGGTACTCCGTAATTCCTTTAACCACCGTTCTTCTGTCTTCATAAAATTATTGCCTTTGTTTAAGCAATGAAGATAGCTAGATCTATAGACCCTTCCCTTTCTATCTTTCCTGTCTCTACCACCCCGACCAAAGTGCCAAACCCACTGTCCAGTTCTGTAGCAGTAGGAAGTCCTGCGTTGTAGTATCCTGTCAGAACCAGGTTTTCTTCCCATGGACCAAAGAGTTCCAATTGCTTCACAAAAAGGTTTCTTGTCCATCTTCAGACTCTCCCTTATCAAAAGGATGCAGCTCAGAAGTAACATTTTTGGCCTAAAGGCAAATAAACTCTTGCTGGGCACCAACTCCGTATGAAGCTCACATCACAAAAAGCAGGCTCACTTTTGTTTGCTGTGGTGGGCTCCGTCGAAATGTGGGATACTGTTTTCCAATTTTATCCATGTATTAAGCACAGGCGACTGTCTGTGGGCTGTGAACCCACCCATCTTCTGCCCTCTACGCTCAGAGACCAAGAGAAGGCTGTCCTTTCTCCCCTTATTGGGATTTATGCACACTTTTTGCTGTTTCCTTTTACCAGACAGTGGTAAAACTTCTGTCACATTGTAAAAGATAATGGGTTTTTAAAAGATATACTTATCGGGTTTGATTAGAAGTGATACTTTGCTGTTCCTTCTGTAACCATTTTTAAAGTCTTGCCTTTGTAAGATAGCCTTTAGATCTGGTGAATGCCAATAATCGAAAAATTTTGCCTCATTTACAAAAGAATATACTTATGGCATGTTGTATGAAATCCTATTAACTTAAAATCCTCGCACAATAAGAAAGAATAAGTTTCACTTCAATCTGATACCTACTTGATAAGTTTATTCATAACAATTTTATTTTGTCAGAATTCGTGAAAATAAATAGTAAACCACACAATTAAGACCCCACAAAGGTTTTTTACACTCTTCCAAAATTTTCTTTACACACTCAGCGATTTGATGGAGACTCTGCAGCAAGTACAAAAAGAAATGGCCAGTGAAGAAGCTCTCTCCCATTTAAACAACGACTTGTCGCAGCTGATTGCGGCCCATGATGAAGCTCGGGTAAGTGCGTACTTTTTTTAACTATGGTCTCAAAAAATCCATGCGTCCAGCCGCTGTCTTGCAACTATTAGCCAAAATTTTGTGATGCTACTTAAACTTTTTAAAGTAGAAACTCGATTTCAGGAGCGGGTTCCGGGTTTTATAGAAAGGTGATGCAGTTTTTACAGATAAAAGCGCAACCAAAGAAATTGACTTGTTTGATCAAAATTTTACACACTAATTTGGGTGTAAATCTTTGCTTCAACTCTTAGTCAGATAAGCCTTTAGTTAATAAATCCTACTAATTAATACGGATGAATTAGCGTGAGACAAAATTCAAACCTGTAATGGAGCTTTTGTCGGTGTAGTTACCACCTAATCAAGTGAAACAAGTTATTTTACATTGTTTTATAAATGTTAGCTTAAAATAGCAGCCACCTGGTTATGTTACTCCTCCAAACTAGCACCAACATTTGACCCATCGAACTTGACCACTTCAGTTGTCGTTGCTATTATCCTCTAGACTCAGAACATCCAACATTTATCATGTCGCCCTAAGTTAGAGATTTCTGCTTATGATACATGATTCAGTGCAATTCAGTCCTTTATTTGACAGATTAAAATTTCAAAAAAATTCACTTTTAAAACTGGACACATGCAGGTTGCAAGCCAAAAGCTTTTTATCCTCGCGATACTTTATAGAGAGCCATGAAAGGATTCGCTCCACAAAGGTTGAACCTTGCACAAATTGAAGAGATATCTCAGAATTTGACCACTTTGCAATCAGCAGTGCCATCAATTTCAGCATCTGGTAAGATCTTCACCGAGATCTGTCTCAGAGCACCAGAGATGAAAGCGGTGATGGGGGATATTGCTTCAGCTGCACAATCACTCGAAAGCCTGAAAGAAGTGGAAGTGTTGATGAAGAGCTTTCTTTTGTGGTTAGTCAACACAGCAACGGTTAGTCAACTCTGAAAATATATTTCCCAGGTCTATTTTACCAGCCAGTGCATAAAAAAATAAAAGACGGGATTCATTGTAGCTCTTTATCTACAAATTAAAGTATTGAATAAATTGCTTTTAATCAACCTTTCATGCGCTGAAATACGGTGAGGTTTTTTAAACCCTCAAGCTTTTTTTACAAGTTTAATTACTGATTCCCTCAAGCGATACGCACCATCCAATCTAGGTGTTGAGGAATTCCTCCGGCTTGGACACTCTAGTCTCGGATGTCTACACAGATACTACCTGGCACCTCAACGCTCTTTGTGAGCCTCTGCTGCGACCGTACGTGGAGCGACTGTTTCAATGTCACGGACTTCCGGGCCACTTTACAAGCCTCATTGATTCCGTTTGTGGCGAGGAAGGTCTCCTTGCAAGAATCTTCGCTTGGGGTGTGGTGGTGTGGATTGAGATTATTCTGCTCTTTCTTTTCCTCCTCCCCTTGATTTTTGGCATTACCGCTGTTAATGAGGTGCTTGCTGAAGTTAGTGACTGAACTGCGAACTTTCGGTAGCTTATATCTGGCCAGAAACGAGAGTATTATGCCACGGGTAATTCATATGATCCACAACCTTTGATTGTTTAAAAATGATTTGCTTCCTAGCAAAAAAAGTGGTCTTTTCAGTTCTTGACTAAATGTAACGATTTGAGTCCTGCCTGAAATAGTGCGAAGACATAAAAGTGTGGCGTGTAGAGGGGTTCCGACTACTGGCATGGACTGGAGACTTAAGTAACCACGTAATCAAACGCTAAGTTGGACAAACAGTCAAAGCATATAGTATTAATGAGGAAAAGGAACGATGAGGTTGAGTTTTTAATTTTTAAGCCGTAATATCTATTATTCTACAAGCGAATATTTCGGACTTTAAATATTGTATCGCTGTAAAATGATAACGGGATGACAGTAGTTGGAGTCGAATATGAGGTAAAGACCTACGGTCTCGGGGTCGATGGAACATGGCAAAATGGCTGTGGAACCGAAAACCAATTGGGCTGCCGCTCGTGGATCACATCTTCCTATGTCCTTATGCGCGATTCCGTAATTGCCACATTCAAAAAGGGGTGATGCCTAGTCTTGGGATCAGTAAGCTGGATAAAACTAAGGAATGAGTGAATACTCCCAAGTGTCTCATTGAATTGTGAAATAGGATGATAGGATGGTGGATATGTTGCTACTGATATGTACATAAGTAGTAATTTTCTCAGCGCAAGCACAACGGCGGAGTAAAGGGGAATGGTGATTTGAGAGGACTTTTTATTAGTTGTGATCACGCCTGAAGTGTTGCAGAAACTTAGTATGATGACGTCCAGCATCTTCTAATGCAGAAGGAATGCAATGGTGTAGCCAAAAGGCAGAGAATCTGTGCTAAAGGCCACCTCCAACCTCCCACAGTGTCACGCGGATAAGTGGTGAGTACTGTCTACACACACGCCATCTTAATAACCTCCATTTTAGGTTTAATCTATAATCTTTTTAAAGCTACCTAAGACCGAGTAAAGTAAAGGACCTTTCTTGGCAATTTTGAGGGCCAAATCGCTGCTAAGGTATGCAATAACTACATACTCAAGATTTGCACAACATAGGATAGCTCAAGGCAATGGAGAAGAGCGACCCGCTGTTGATTTCATCTGTGGTGGGAGCAGTATAGCATTGGAGTACCGGAGCACCTTCAGTGTAGTTGAAGGTGCAGTGCAGATAGTGTGTTTGTATGGAAGAATGAGGGGAATGAGGAGATTTGGAGATAGACCCTAGATCCTAGTCACCCTCATTCTTCATGTTCTCACAATGATATTTTCTCCATTAACTACAACTTTGTTTTAACATTTGACACTTATATACTAATTAGAGTGTAAATTAGGAAAAGGAAAGTTAGTCTACTCGTCCACTTCACGCGTCACATATATGTGACGCATCGATTTGCCTACCTGAACATCCATTTCAGGCTCATCAGTTTATGACAAATGTGTTTAAACCGAATCATGGAGGGCCTGTAGTTAAAAAAGTGAAATATGTGAAACACTGTTTAAGATAAAAACCGCTATTTACGAGTATCCCTCAATCACACCCATCAATTTTCAACAATTGCAGTTCACGGATCTTCCGCAGTGTTAGTTCACCCATGACTGGTCTCTTTCATCTCTCCCTAGCTGACAAACGAGCAAGTGTTCTTAAAAGCCATTTTGTTGCCTTTCATAGCAATGAGGAGTGGTCATTTCGTGATTGTGATGTGATCTATGTGCGGTAGCCCAATTTTTGTATTGTCCCATCGCCAGTCAGTCATGTCCACCCGAAAGGCGACAACTTTGTCTCCTCTTCTTGCTGACTAATAGATCTTTTATGAGAAATGGCTCATGAAATCTAGCGCCTTTTGTACAAACGAATACATAAGCGACAAGTACTACTTAATTTTCATAAGGCTGTGCTTCCAGTGTTTGTGTTCGCGGGTCTCTATGATACACCAGAGACAAAATGGCTCACCATGATTTAATTTCCGAGCAATCTTCTTACTTAGGCGGAAAAAAATCAGAAGTACATTCGGTGCATTGCAAAACCAAGCAGCATGAAGATTAGACTTTTCCTTAACTAGGGGAAGGAGGGGGAGGAGGAGGAGAACGGCACCACCTGTCACCATTGTCAGTATCAGCCATGATTCTCTTGTCCCGCCGATTCCCCTTTACAACATTTTCGGTATTCATTTCTCCAAATTTAAAGTGATTATAAAGAGCCCTCATAAAACTGGCTCTCACAATGTATGATGTGAGGGTGACATAGTTTGTAAGTAAATAAAAAATTCGCCATCATAATGTATTCAGTACGTGAACTGAGTGTTGAGAGCTCTCAAGGCCTACTTCCGCCCCACCCCCCCCCCATCCCTTCTCTCTACGAAATTTTCTAATGGTCGTGTAAATTTATGCTCGGTGACCCCTTCGCTCGGTGTTTTTGTGATTTCCACCTGTGTGAAGGCTGGCCGATTCGCCCCACTGGTCTACCCCCAAACATGGTGTTCATCATCCCCTCCTGCCTCGCCTCACCTCACCCCACCCCACCCCACCTCTGGATAATGCCTTGTGATATTGGGGGTCTCTGCGACCTTCACATCTTCATGAAATTAGCATATTGAATGGGACGTTTACCTGTTAACATGCGTACATAGATGAATGGGCCTGAGGGGAGGGAGAGGAGGAGAAAGAGAAGGGGAAAATAACATTCTTTATAGTGATTGTACTTATAGATCAGTTGAATCTGTGGTATACCAGAAGCACTTGTAAAGTAGGCAAATTCCATCAGGATGAAACAGTCCGTGTCTTGGAAGTGCGTATTGGATTCTGGGTGGATCGAAGACGTTTCGGTACACCAAAGCTCTCCTGCTCCAGAATACCAGCACTCTGCTGCTCCAAGTCAAGGAGCCCACTTTCCTTCCACCAACACCTCCGCAGATGAAACAAATATCGGTTTGCAGCTACTAACACTGGAACTGCCTTCCAGTCGTTCTCAAAACACTGAGGCCTCGGTTAGCTCAGAGTACCCACTTCATCAAGACACGCGTCTCCATACCAAATGGAGTCATTCTCTGCTCTCCCCAGTTGCCCTAAGTCATCGCTCTTCGTATAAACCTCGAGTACCTAAGCTTGGCATGTCTGGACAGCAAATAAACTTTCCAATTTCTGTAAAAAAAAACAACTTTTTGCGTGGTTCTAGGCTGGCATAATTAGGTGGAAGAATGGGATCCAAAAGGCAGTTGTGTGTGGAGGTAGTCGACTCCTTGTTGTAATGGGGCGATGTAGTGGGGTGGGAAGTTTCCGTGGCAAGGTGAAATATTCCCTCGTCAGCTCCGAATGTGAATGACTTCAAACACTTTAGATTTGGAATTAAAAAAAAAAACATTCTATGTAAGCATGGTGGTTGTCTTTACCCTGCGGCTACGCCTTACAGATAGACCCACAGATGCGCCAGGTCATCATACCTCATATCCCCGCGTTCGCTGACCCGCTCTGTCTTATCTTTAGTTCCAATTGTTTTTTATATTCCCCTATACGGTCCAAGTAAATCGGTTTTGCCTTTCCAGTCTAGTTCATCACCTTTTGATCAAATGTAGCACAAATGCCAATGGGCGTGGATGATGAGGCAAGAATGTGCAGCTCTCACAGCAAGAAATGAATGTTGGTTAGAGTTCAAGATAAATAAATAAACTTTCTTGGCAATGTGTAGTCCTTTTCCCTCTTTTTACTGAAAGAAAAATTTGAGGCTGATGCCTTTAAAACCATCCGTTGAATGTTAGATGGACAAAGACACTTGTGCTCAACGACTGTTGCCTCCTCTTTGAAGTACATTGTAGACATTCACCGTCTCGATGCTGATGAAGACGGAACCACTGAATCAACTATGCAATATGGCTTAAGCAGCCATTATCTTCCTGCCATCTTATCCGTCTCGCGTCTGCTGGAGATGGCCACAATCCAGTGCTGGAGACTACCCCTGCCTAGGCTGTTCGGGGTAGACGCTTTCCCCCAAAAGAGTTCTGAAGCTTGTCTTTGCACCTAGAAATCTAGGTCGTTGTCATTGTAGAATGGATTACCGATGCCAGCTGCCATTATAGGTTTTTACTCTGGGCAATATAACTACTTGGAACCCACAGGGATCACAAAGATCCCTTCCCCTTGAAATGTCGAATAACGATAAATTATTAAGATTATGACGGCACCTATGAGGCATGTAGGTACTCTTAGTACAGTTAATAAAAGAATTGGTCATGAAGTTAGGCCATGAAAAGCCGCTACTAAACATCCTTATGAATTGAGGCCGTAGGGCGTATTTTCTATCCATCTGATTGGTGGAAGCCCCTTCAAGGTCATTTGTGTTGTCGTTTAATGATGGTGCCACCAAAATTGCACGAATGATAAAAAAAGTGACCTGATGACATTTTTGTCCGTCACGATTATATTTGCTCAACGAAAGTCAGTTTTGGTTAGAG